ACTGACATTTAATGTGGATAAGTGCAAGATAATGCATCTTGGACGTAAAAACCCAAGGGCAGAGTACAGAATATTTGATAGAGTCCTAACCTCAACATATGAGGAAAGGGATTTAGGGGTGATTATTTCTGATGACTTAAAGGTAGGCAGACAATGTAATAGAGCAGCAGGAAATGCTAGCAGAATGCTTGGTTGTATAGGGAGAGGTATTAGCAGTAGAAAGAGGGAAGTGCTCATGCCATTGTACAGAACACTGGTGAGACCTCACTTGGAGTATTGTACACAGTACTGGAGACCTTATCTTCAGAAGGATATTGATACCTTAGAGAGGTTCAGAGAAGGGCTACTAAACTGGTTCATGGATTGCGGGATAAAACTTACCAGGAAAGGTTAAAGGATCTTAACATGTATAGCTTGGAGGAAAGACGAGACAGGGGGGATATGATAGAAACATTTAAATATATAAAGGGAATCAACACAGTAAGGAGGAGACTATATTTAAAAGAAGAAAAACTACCACAACAAGAGGACATAGTCTTAAATTAGAGGGACAAAGGTTTAAAAATAATATCGGGAAGTATTACTTTACTGAGAGGGTAGTGGATGCATGGAATAGCCTTCCAGCTGAAGTGGTAGAGGTTAACACAGTAAAGGAGTTTAAGCATGCGTGGGATAGGCATAAGGCTATACTAACTATAAGATAAGGCCAGGGACTAAAGAAAGTATTTAGAAAATTGGGCAGACTAGATGGGCCAAATGGTTCTTATCTGCCGTCACATTCTATGTTTCTATCACCGGTTCTTATAATAGAATCTGATATTATCACTGGATCTAATAATATAATCAGATATTATCACCGGGTCTAATAATAGAATCTGATATTATCACTGGATCTAATAATCGAATCGGATATTATCGCCAGATCTAATGATATCATCTTATATAATCACTGGATCTAATAATAGAATCTGTATTACTCACTGGATCAAATAATAGAATATGGTATTATTACTGGATCTGATATTGTTGGATTGTGACAGACCGCCTGGCACCCCGACCGGGTGCCTCTGTCAGGCGACGCTCCTAGTGCTCACCTAGGACTCCAAGCACTCCACCAGACACCATTAGCTTTGGAGTCCCCACATCCAGCGTTACAGCTTGGCTGGGAACTTGCCCGTCCTCCACCCACCCTGGACCCAAGACCAGGATCCAGCTTTCAGTGGGTGAACCTCTCCTACTCCATAGAGCGTAGCAGGAACAGCTCCTTAAAGAGCTAGTGATTATAATCCCAGGGGAGTATAGTGATATAGCAATCCCCAGGTTAGATACAGCCGTTTCCTCCACACATGAGATGAGACTCTATGTTGAAGGTAAGCAGGAACTCAATTTTAATGGTGCCACACTGGCCTTTTGTGCAAGTCCCCAAACAAGGGATACGCCCACATGGAACTTGTTGGGGACAGGAACACAAAGCTTACAAACCAATCAGAACAGTAATTCAGTAATTAAATATATGGCACTCCCATAACAAACATACAATCCCTCCCCTCTGCTTGTGAGATAATTGAGTCAGATACTGTATTAACCCAATTATCTCCAGGCAGAAAAAAAAACAGATTTTACAAAACCCTCAAAGTACCTTGAAACACACAAAATCTCCATTAGCCCTGATTTTTGGTCACCCAGATCAGTTTAGGGGTTCAGCAATTCTATGGAACTCCCATTTTGACCGACCGCACTCATGGTTTCATGCCAAAAACAGTTCCAGAGAATCAGACTGTGCGGCTGGTCTACGTCGAGAATTCGAAATAACGTTAGAATTACCGAACGAAGCCGTTCGTGGATATAGTCTGTGTATGTCTCTTGTTCTGGGGCATCTTCTTACCGAACGCCGTTTGACTCCCGTTCCAATAGCTGAACATCCATGGAAGGTAAAGTTTTAGCGGTGTTCGTGCTGTCGAGTGTCCGATTTGAGTTCCATGCACTCGACGACCAAACACTGGATGCGTTCGACTAAGCAGGATGGCCGCTGTCACATGTTCGAATGTCGAATGGTGGCCACTTCGACTGTTCGGGAGTTCGAAGTACCACTTCAAAAGTTCGAATTTGTTCCAGTTAGAAGTCCAAGAGGCACAACCAGAGTCTCTAACCCAAAGTTCACCACAGGGGCCATAGTCACAGGGCAGGAGGCTGGCAAACAGGCCCCTCCAAAAACCAGTGGCGTGGTCACTTTCGCCACATGGATCTAATAATAGAATTTTATGTAATCACTAGATCTAATAATCTAATGTGATTTTACTGGATCTAATCATATAATCATATATAATCACTGGATCTAATAGTACAATCTGTATCAATCACTGGATCTAATAGTAAAATCTGATATTACTGGATTTATTCAAATAATTGTATATAATTACTGGATCTAATGCTATAATCTGATTTTACTACTGGATCTTATGATAGTATCTGATATAATCACTAGATCTAATAAAACAATCTGCTATTACAGGATCTGATAATAGGATATAGCATTATCACTGGATCTAATATTGGATTCTGATATTACAAGATCTAATAATGGTATCTGATAAAATAACATGATATAATGATATGGCTGGATCTAGTAATGGAATCTGTAATCCCTCTCAGTAAAGTAATACTTCCTGATATTATTTTTAAACCTTTGTCCCTCTAATTTAAGACTATGTCCTCTTGTTGTGGTAGTTTTTCTTCTTTTAAATATAGTCTCCTCCTTTACTGTGTTGATTCCCTTTATATATTTAAATGTTTCTATCATATCCCCCCTGTCTCGTCTTTCCTCCAAGCTATACATGTTAAGATCCTTTAACCTTTCCTGGTAAGTTTTATCCCGCAATCCATGAACCAGTTTAGTAGCCCTTCTCTGAACCCTCTCTAAGGTATCAATATCCTTCTGAAGATACGGTCTCCAGTACTGTGTACAATACTCCAAGTGAGGTCTCACCAGTGTTCTGTACAATGGCATGAGCACTTCCCTCTTTCTACTGCTAATACCTTTCCCTATACAACCAAGCATTCTGCTAGCATTTCCTGCTGCTCTATTACATTGTCTGCCTACCTTTAAGTCATCAGAAATAATCACCCCTAAATCCCTTTCCTCATATGTTGAGGTTAGGACACAGGTTTGATAGAAAATAGACACCATTCTAGCAGAGGGTTGTAAATATCTTGTGTGAAGATCAGAGTGAGGGGGGGGAGAGAGAGGGAAAAAACAAGCAAACAGTGCAGAGGATGGTGCTAGAAGGGGAGAGTAAAAAAAATAATTACTCATATTAAGAATGCATGAGTTATCATCCAAGAGTTACATGATATGCATAGAAACATAGTATGTGACAGCAGATAAGAAACATTCGGCCCATCTAGTCTGCCCAATTTTCTAAATACTTTCATTAGTCCCTGGCCTTCTCTTATAGTTAGGATAGCCTTATGCCTATCCCACGCATGCTTAAACTCCTTTACTGTGCTTTAAACTCTTTTAGATTATATGCATGAAGGCCTGTATCCAGCATACCCATACAAACACACACACGCGCACACACTCACACACATGTTAGTCCAATAAAAAAAGGTATTACAAGATACAAATTTTATCTGTTTTTTACATTTAATAAAAATATTAAAGAGAATGGGTTCAAGTACAGATCCCTGAGGTACCCCACTGGTGACAAGTCCAAGCTTCGAATATACTCAGTTGACTACAACCCTCTGTTGCCGGTCACTCAGCCACTGCCTTACCAATTCAACAATATTGGAATCCCGACTTAAAGATTGCAGTTTATTGATAAGCCTTCTATGTGCAACAGTGTCAAAAGCCTTACTGAAATCTAGGTAAGCAATGTCTACTGCACCACCCTGATCTATAATTTTAGTTACCCAATCAAAAAAATCAATAAGATTAGTTTGGCATGATCTCCCTGAAGTAAACCCATGTTGTCTCTGATCTTGAAATCCATGTGTTTTTAGATGTTCAACAATCCTATCCTTTAACATGGTTTCCATCACTTTCCCCACCACTGAAGTAAGGCTTACTGGCCTATAGTTGCCCGACTCCTCCCTATTACCTTTCTTGTGAATGGGCAATCACTGGATATAATAATAGAATCTAGTATAATAACTTCATCTAATAATAGAATATGATATTATTACTTGATCTAATAGTATAATCCGATATTTGTATTTCTTAGACTGAAAAGGGAATGATGTATAAATAAGATGTTTTCTGTGATCATCCCCCAGGTGTATCCAGACGAAGGTCACATTATCTCAGCTGAGAAGAGTCGATTCCATCTATACAGCAATCTGGTCCGTTTTTTTGGTGAATGCTCACAAAGTGAAGTGATTGCTATACCACAGGAACTGGAAGAAGATGAGTGAAATAGCGATGAGATATCTGGACTCAGTGATTGTCTCTAAGCAGTACTATTGGAAGGCTTGGGACCAGCAGCACACATCGGATAAGACATCAACCCGAGGACTAAACTTTCTACCTTGTGGAGATGTACAAAGGAACCTAGTTTTCTTAATATTAGTGTACTGCATGTTTCCTTTTCTTTATTCATTAAGAAGACAAACTACAATTTCTATTTCTGTAACACCTTGGAAGGCAATGCCCGGTTTCTGGCCAGAGGGACATTGCCCCTGGTTGCCACCATCATTTTAAACTGAAACAAGTGCAATTTCTTCACTGCCCTTAGTGAGAAACTCCGTTATCAAAGAACTCACTATTTTTATTGTTTCTTTAAAAAAAAATAGACAAATCTTGTTCAGTTGGCTGTTTTACATAAATCTTATCGATGAGCGTTTTTTCAAATTTCAGACTCTTGTTAATGTGTATTCTCTTACCAGATGTTGAGAACCTCACTATTTTGGTAGTGGATATAACTATATATATATGTATAGATGGGTTTAAGGGATATATATATATATGTAAATATATATATATTTTCATTATGGGCAGATCACATTTGACAGAAAATGGCAGATCTTGGGGAAGCTGATTTGAATCCAGTTATTGTTTTACGCCTAGAAGCGGTTGTTGTCATTCTTCATCTGAGAAGCTTGGTTTAGACATTTTTTTTCCTCTTATTTCTTGACTGGATCCTTTAAAGCTGGGTTTTAACTGCCATGTTCATTACCATTTGGTGAATAGAAACACACATTCATGCTTTCCTATAAACACATGCAATTAGCTTCATATGTACTGAATAGGGTTTCCAGTGACCCCAGTTTAGATACTGGGAGACCAGGTCAATTAGACATGATGAATCTTTTTTCATTTTTACATCATACTCCCTCCCACCATAATTCTAACAGACCTGACCTCCCTCCCACCATGATTCCGACAGACCTCACCTCCCACCATGATCCACACAGACCTGAGCTCCCAACATGATTCTACGAGACCTTACCTTCCTCCATAATTCCCAAAGTCCTGACCTTCCTCCATGATCCCTACAGACCTGACCTCCCTCCATGATTCCCATAGTCCTGACCTCCACCATGATTCCCCACAGACCTGACCTACCATGATTCCCACAGTCCTGACCACCCCCCATAATTCCTAACCTCCTATCATGATTCCCCACAGACCTGACCTCCATACATGATTCCCCACAGACCTGACCTCCCTCCATGATTCCCGCAGTCCTGACCTCCCTCCATGATTCCCGCAGTCCTGACCTCCCTCCATGATTCCCACAGTCCTGACCTCCCTCCATGACTCCCACAGTCCTAACTTCCCTTCATTATCCCCACATACCTGACCTCCCTCCATGATCCCCACAGACCTGATCTCCCTCAACCATAATTCCAATCCCCGCAGACCTGACCTCTCTCCATAATTCCCACAGTTCTGACATCTCTCCATGACTCCCACATAACTGACCTCCCACCATGATTCTCACAGTCCTGACCACCCCCATAATTCCCACATACCTAACCTCCCATCATGATTCCTCACAGACCTGACCACCCTCCATGATTCTCCACAGTCCTGACCACCCCCTATAATTCCTAACCTCCCATCATGACGTCCCACAGAGCTGACCTCCATTCATGATTTCATGATTCCCCACAGACCTAACCTCCCTCTATGATTCCCACAGTCCTGACCTCCTATCACGATTCCCACATTCCTGACCACCCCCCATAATTCCTAATCCCCCATCATGATTCCCCACAGACCTGACCTCCATACATGATTCCCACAGTCCCGACTTCCCTTCATGATTCCCCACAGACCTGACCTCCCACTTTGATTCTCCACAGACCTGACCTCCTACTATGATTCCCACAGATCTGACCTCCCACTATGATTCCCACAGATCTGACCTCCCTCAATGATTCCTCACAGACCTGATCTCCTACCATGTTTCCCACTGTCCTGACCTTCCACTATAATCCCCACAGACCTGACATCCTTCCATGATTTCCCACAGACCTGACCTCCTACCAGGATTCCCACAGTCCTGACCAACCCCCATAATTCATAACCTCCCACCATGATTCACACGGATCTGACCTCCCTCCATGATTCCCCACAGACATGACCTCCTACTATGATCCCTAACAGACTTGACATCCCTCCATGATTCCCCACAGACATTACCTCCTACCCTGATTCTCACAGTCCTGATCTCCCTCAACCATAATCCCCGCAGACCTGACCTCCCTCTATGACTCTCCACATACCTGACCTCCTGCCAGCATATGACACCTTGTAAATCATGGCTCCCACCCCGTGTCTGATGCCTTACAGATCATAGCTTGGTGGTAGTGTGAAATTTCACACAGACTAGATCTCCCTTCCCTAGAGTTGTTGCTCTTACCCTCTGTCTGATGCCCCTCGGATCATGGCTCCCACCCTCTGTCTGATGCCCCTACAGACCAGTCCTCCATCACAATGTCCAGTTACAGAATAAGATATAAAGGATTATTTACATTGTAAAAGCATCTTATACTGTCAGAGTTAGATTTACTCAGGGGGAATTGTCTGGAATTCAAAGTGAATTTAAAATTTTAGGCTAAAAATAGCCAAAATGGAAATCTTCTCACAGTCAGTTTATATTTCCTTTTGGACTAATTTGATCTAAAATGTTAAAGTCCCTTTGAATTGGTTAATACTTTTGTGAGTGTGTCTGTTTTCACAGATTAATTGAAGAGGTTTTTGCTCAAAATGCTGAAATGCAGCTGAGTCGGTAACATTGAGATTGGGTATTCTAGTACGTTATATTGTATTACACATGCACTATGCATACAATATAAAATAGGCGCATTTAGTATTTTATACTATTTATTTAAATAAACACAAGTAAATCAGCACATCTATGGACGTTTGGTATATGTATAAATAAACTTTAACGCTGTCTAGACGGGTTCTTTACGTTGCAGCAAGTCAGACTCTGGGAATTCATTTGCTTTTTACAAAATATTAAGGACACAGCTCCAGGGCACCCTTTGGAAGCTCTATGGCAAAATGGGGAGCTCCAAGGTAACGTGAGAGGAGCTCTATGGTAACATGGGGAGAGCTCTAGGGTAACGTGAGGAGCTCTAGGGTAACGTGAGGAGCTCTAGGGTAATATGCGGGGAGCTCTAAGGTAACATGCGGTAAACTCGAGGATAATATGGGGAGCTCTAGCACTGTGAATCGGCATGCCATGTTTTAACGCTCACTGTACTAATGATGAAGTTGATGTTATCAAGACGTGTTCTAGAACTGTGGTTTTCAGCCAGTGTCTTCAGTACAATTGCCTTAAATCACTTCAAATCAGCTTGGCTCAAAGTATCTAAATCTCTTCAATAAGACTTTCAGTTAATGTGAAATTAATAAAACGAAAACATAAGTGTCCCATGGAAGTGTGCCTTAGTTCAAAATGTGCTGGGAACAATTTTTATAGAGAACTGTAATTTATAGATCACTTGTTCAGGTAAAAATACAGCCACTTGTAAATTATTTCTGGAAAAGAGACCAGAAATTCTGGGTGAAATGAGAGAGATTTCTGGGTTATAGAAAAGGAATGAGTGGAAAAACGTTTGGTGGTGTTTGGGTAAAATGGTGGATGTGGTGGATTGATAAAGCATTGGCTGGAGGGGAATAAAGGTACCAAGAGGACTAGCTATAAAGGTGAGTGGAAGATAATTAGAGGAGCTAGTCTCGGGGAACCAATGCGAAGAGAGAATCTAGAGAATCGAGGAAATATTCACCAAAAATACAGAGGAAGAGATTCGAAAAGGGGCAAGATTTGCCACATACTTCCAACCAGAATCCTACATCTCCTTTTTTTCGGAGGGATCCAGTCAAGGAAAGATTGAAGCAAACACAACAGACCAGCATATGGGAATCCCCAGGCAAACGCAGGAGATCGGTAACACAAGAAGGAGAACACGAAGAAGAAGAAGAAACGAGATACAGGGAAAAGAGAGGCAAGAGATGAATGAGGAAGGTATTTTTAATTTAACAGATCAAGAATTATCGAAAGAAACAATGGAAGTTTTACAGAAAGGGCTAAAATTTGCCCCGACTGTAGATTTAAACAAATTTGATCTGTTTATAGATATTAATAAATTCATTAGACAGTTATGTCTGAAAAAGTTTTTTGCCAATCAGAAAGAAACTCAGAAGGAAGAGGTTATAGAAAAGTATAAACATACCGATCTAAAAACAAAATCTAATTTTTTTCCCAAACACCTTATCTCTGACGAAATTAAAGCGTTTGAGATAATGGTAATGAAAGAAATAAGACAAATTAAACCATTGAATAAATACCAACACAATATGTCAAGTAAGGAAAAAAATGTGGTTAAGGGATTAAAACAAAATAAGGAAATGGTTATCAAACCAGCAGATAAAGGGGGAGGGGTCGTTATATCTTCAAGGTCTAGTTACGTACAAGAAGCTGAACGAATTTTATCTGACCCTCTTACATACCAAAAATTGGATAGGAATCCAATTGAGGAAATAAAAAAGAAATTTGATGAATATATCAAGAAAGGTCTAGAAAAGGAAATTTTAACTATAGATGAAGCAAAGTATTTGTCTACACCACACCCCAAAACTCCAGTTTATTACCATCTACCGAAGGTGCACAAAGATAGAAAAAATCCACCCGGTAGACCAATAATATCTGGAATCGACTCCGTTTCAGCGAAGGTATCTGAATACCTGGACAAATTGTTACAACCTTTAGTAGTATGCAATCCTGCTTACTTAAAAGACACTATACATATTTTAAAACTTTTAGAGGAGACCACTTGGAAAGAAGGTAATTTTTTAGTCACGTGTGACGTAACCTCCCTCTATAGCATCATACCTCATAAAATTGGATTGGAAGCTGTGCAATATTTTTTAAGAAAACATAATTTTAAAGAAGAACAGACTCAATATATTTTAGAAGGGATCCACTTGATTTTAACCAATAATTTTTTTTGGTTCCAAGATATCTTTTATTTACAAATTCGGGGAACGGCGATGGGCACCAAGTTCGCTCCCAGCTATGCGAACTTGTTTATGGCATATTGGGAAGAAAATTTTGTGTATGGAGGACATGCCTGGGGAGCGGACTTGGTGTGCTATCATCGTTTCATTGATGACATATTTTTCATTTGGACGGGAACTAGAACAGAATTAGATATTTTTATCACTTTTTTAAATAATAATGAATGGAACATCGTTTTAACAGCACAGATAAGTGAAGAAAATATTAACTTCCTAGATCTTGATATTAATATTAAGAATACTTGTATCACTACGAAAAATCATTTCAAAGAAGTGGACGCAAACGGATACATTCAAAAAGAGAGCTGCCACTATACACCCTGGTTACAAAATGCACCTAGAGGACAATTTTTAAGAATTAGGCGCAACTGCACGAATGATGAGGACTATTTACTACAGGCAGAAAGAATAAAGACCCAATTTCTACAAAAAGGTTATATAGAAATAGATTTACAGACAACTCTAGAAGAAGTCCGTTCAATTCCCAGAAGAAATCTTCTGATATATAAAGACAAAAAGGGGAAACAAAAATGGAATAACGATGTTCCGTTCGTCTGTAATTTTAGTGGAAATCATAAAAAAGTTAAAAAGATTATAAATAGATATTGGCACATCTTGCAAGATGACGTGGTTCTAAAAAGTATCTTGCCAGATAAGCCTAAGATTATTTATAGGGGAGCAAGAAATCTAAGAAGCAATTTGGTACAAAGTAGTGATAAACAAACTTTAGTTGAAAAAATTTTTTTAAAACAAAGTAAAGGTTTTTATGGTTGTGGCCAGTGTCTGGCGTGCAGAAATACTAAAAGTAGGAAACGTCACATAACAGACATGAAACCATGGATAAACCAACAGTTCCAAATTCGAGACCACCTAACTTGTTATTCTAAAGGAGTTATTTATGTCCTGAAGTGCCAGTGTAATCTCCTTTATGTAGGAAGAACTATTAGATGTCTAAACACGAGAATAGCAGAGCATACGAGGAATATTAAAAATGGATTGGAGTCACATAGCGTCTCCAACCATTTCAAAATATTCCATAACCAAGATCCAGAAGGACTATTCTTCTGTGCAGTAAAATTAGTGAAGAAAGACTGGAGAGGAGGAGACTATATTAAAAAAAAAAAAAAATAGGAATAGAAGAAATGAAATTTATTTTCAATTTTAACACTATGGCACCACATGGTCTAAACCAAGATTTTGAACTATGCCATTTCATGAACTAAGCTCCCCTATACTATTAAATTTCATATACATATATTTTTTAATAATTTTTATTAATCCATTTTTATACATTTTATATTATTTAGATTTCTATAAGTTTTTGAAATGGTATTCATTTGAACATTAATTTTGAAATATCACAAGAGCACTTTAAAAATATAGAAGAGCACTTTAAGACACATGACCACTTTAAAGTTTAGACCACTTATACAATGGAAGAATACTTTTATATATTGATATCATGCTCTCTTTGTGAAACATTATCAGACAATATGTTTTGTATATTGCATAGACACTTTCAAAAGCTAAAGATATTTGGAAAAATAATTATCTTTGTATAATACTTCTACACCATGCAAAGTAGTAATTTCAACACATATAGAATTCAACAATACACATATATATATGCATTATATGGTGCCAGTAACAATATACAAATATATTTATGATAAATACATAAACTGGTTGAAAATTGTGCAGTTCGTTTTTAAAAACAATAGAGATGCCGAGAGATGACGTCAGTGGAACGCATTATGCGTTCCAGCTGACCGAGACCGGAACGCGGAAGTGATAAAAGAGAAGTAAATGCGTTCCAGGTCGACGAAAAACATGATCCGGAAGTGACGAAACCGGAAGTGACGTCACTGGAACGCATAATTGCGTTCCATAGAGATACAACCCGGAACCCGGAAGAGAAAAAAAAGCGGACTTTTTAAAATTCGAGAAACTGAATAGAAGATCACAAAGCCGACTGAGGAAGCCTGTGGCATCAGGCGAAACGCGTTTTGGCAATTCTATAAGGACTTTAAAGGACTATATAGCCCTATTTGAGCTTTTATTTATTTTTATAAAATTCTTTTATTTTGATTTGGAATAAAATTATATTTTTATGGAAACCCATTGCTGACCTGACAGTTTTTGTTTGGGAGTGACCACCAACAGAATCTTGCATGAAAAAAGGATTTTGGACATCCTGGAATAGTCCAAAGGCACACACCATCCGAGTCATATGAGATTATGACTCCAGGCTTGTGAGTGGAATATCTACTGCATACACATTTTATTGTATTTTTACTACTATATTGCACTATGGTCTATATTTTATTTTACAGAATATCTGTTATACTACTATTTTAAGAAGCTCCACCCGATTTATGTATGTATATTGTTGATTGTTAAAGTGGTAAAGGGGATACCACTTTGAGGTGTATAGAGTTTCACATAACTGTCTGCCACACTGTGCACATAGCTTTAGACAATTGGACATTTCCACCATCTCAAGCAATCACCATTAATTTCTAATCCATTTTCTCAGCTCTTCACTTTATTTATCAACACGGATCAGCAGCAGAACTACCACTAGCACACTAATGGGGCACATTGGGTTGTCCATGCACTTAGGGCCACCCAACTGGTATTACTGAAAAGTGGCCTTTTAACAGTGCGACTGGCAGAGCTGGGAGGAGGTGAAAGCCAGTAACTTCATCCCAGATATAGAGGGAGCCGCAGGTAATGAGCAGGAGGAGGTGTCTATGTGGGTATGTGTCACTAAATGTATAGGTGTATCTGTGTGTCAGTCTGTGTATGTGCATATTTGTGTGCCAG